TCTCCATGGGTTACCACAGTTCACTGCTGATCTCTGGAACAAATGATGTGGAAAAGAAGACAACTCACTCATTGGTGGCAGAGGTCTGAATTTTTAGTGCATTGTATAGTTTCTAAACGCTGGATGCTGTCTGTGAAAGACATGAGGTTGCTTCCTTGCATCCTAAACACCGCACATTCCCTCTAGCAGAGCTGCCTCACATCATACATAAGCTGCTGGTTCTTTATCGCAGTACAGATGGAAGCAGCAGCAGTGGCTGGCAGTGCCGGTCCTACTCTCAGCACGTGCTGCCTTTCTCCCTCATGCCTGCATGCACCTTCTCTCACACAGTTGTTGCTGTTTAAAATACCTTCTCAAATCTGAAACTGTGTTTTGTAAGACCAGAGCAGGAAATCCAAGTAATGCTCCGATATTTGGACTTGCTATCTCCTCCATAATATGTCCTGTTTTCCCCTTTTCATTACATATTCTGGGGTCTCTACAAAGCAGAGTTATTTTCCTCCTCTACATTGACAAGAAGGTGGATGTATTCCACCTAGTTGCCAGAGAAGCAAGATTTGGGGATTTTTTAAATTATTATTTTATTTCTGTATCAGGATAAGAGGACAGTTGGGCATTTCTAGGACTTTCTGTGGGATCTTTGTCCAGTCTCTTGTTAGGGCATTCTGGGCACCATCCTGCAGGGGCTAAGCCCAGGTGCAGAACTGGGGGCTGATAATGTTGTCTATCAACAGCCCCCAACATGGCAGGTGATGAACCAGAGCCAGGGGCCACCCAGGGGGCCCAACCAGGAGCAAAAGGGGATGAGACCAGGGACACAACTGGAGACAAGCTACAACATGCATTCAAGGGGTCCATCCAGAAAGCATGGCTGGAGACTGGCACTCCTGTTGTGCCACTGAGGCAGGGACTGATGACCCCAGGCTGAGCTGAAATGGGGTTCTGGGCCATAGGCAGGGGTGTGGGGAGGCCCAAGGTGGGGCTCGGCAGGGCCAGTAAGGCCTGTTAGTGCGCCCGGGGCTCCTCTCCTATAACTCTGGGTAGCACTATGGCCGTAACCAGCAGCAGGACCCAGTGGTCACAGTTCAGACTTGATAGTGCAAAATCTTGCATTTTATTCTTACCCTTGAACACCACCCTGCTGCATGTTCATGAACATGTTTCTGTTTCTCCATCAATAAAAGGAGGATGATATGTCTCATTGGGAAGGTATAAGGCTTAGTTGCGTACTGAAACTTTGCATAATGAAAATGCTTTCTAAGCATTGTTAATTAGTAATTACATTATTTGTTGCTGAAGGAATGTAAAACACCTTGAAGGAAATCTTGGCCCTATTGAGAGAGCAGAAAAATCTCCTTTGCTTTTCCTAGAACAGAGATTTCAACTCTCATACCAACTGCATATATCAACAGGGAATCACTTTATGTTCTTGTCCTTGATTATGTCCTTGGAAGATCATAGAATCATAGAATCATTTAGGTTGGAAAAGCCCTTTAAGATCATCGAGTTACATTATTTGTTGCTGAAGGAATGTAAAACACCTTGAAGGAAATCTTGGCCCTATTGAGAGAGCAGAAAAATCTCCTTTGCTTTTCCTAGAACAGAGATTTCAACTCTCATACCAACTGCATATATCAACAGGGAATCACTTTATGTTCTTGTCCTTGATTATGTCCTTGGAAGATCATAGAATCATAGAATCATTAAGGTTGGAAAAGACCTCTAAGATCATCGAGTCCAACCATCGACCCAACACCACCATGCCCACTAAACCATGTCCCTAAGCGCCTCATCTACATGTCTTTTAAATACTTCCAGGGATGGTGACTCAACCACTTCCCTGGGCAGCCTCTTCCAAATGTTTAACACTCTTTCAGTAAAGAAATTTTTCCTCATGTCCAAGATGCTACATCAGTAAGTTTTTAGGCACATTAAATTTATGCATTAAAGCATTTTTCAAAATTCAATGGTTGCATCACTTTCAAAACAAAAGAAAAATCCTAACAAATACAATACACCCAACTGTGCACACATTTCTTCTCGGAGGAAGAGGATGAGCAAATAAACACATGGGGTATTTCACTTGCACTGCTGACAGCACAGTTGGAAGGTGCTCAGAAATCATTATGAAGATCTCAAGAGAACAACCTGATAGAACAGAAAAGTGATGCACTAAAGAGCATTAGATTCCGACTGACCGCAGCAGACTTCAGATCAGGCAAACGTGATTTGTGTCTTATACGGAGACTTAAAGGCAATGCTGACAAACATGTCATCTGAACCTGGACATATCCATATGGAGAAAGTAGAGTGCCTACGTCAGTATTTTATGAATCTTCCTGACTATATCTGTACAAAAGATTAAACTTGTATGCCTTTAAAATAGCAACACTATATACGTTTATAGTTTCTGATTGCTTGGTTATTTTAAGTACTCTTCTTAAGTAACATATTTGTTACTGGAATATGTCCTCTAGCTTTCCACAAAAGAATATAAAGCACGAACTGGATTGCAATATAAAGTTATATATAACGTTAAAAATTAGTAGGATTTATAGAATATAACTTTGAATCTTGACACTCATCTGATCTGTCTTCAAAGCCAAGCCAAGACCATCTATGGCTACAGCATTCCCAACACAAAGCTATTTAACTGTTCTATGAAAAAATGCAGTAATGAAGATCTCTAACGCCCTCCAGACAATCTCTTCTGCTGCCTGATTTTTCTTACTGTTCAGCAAGCTGCCTAACCTAAATTTCCTTTTGCCGTAATTTAAATATGTTACTTCACTCATCTCACAGTGGATCCTGAGGAAAGTCTGTTGCCTCCTTCTTTTCCTCACCTTTCTGCATATAAAAGACTGAGACTCCCTCTGCCTTCTCCTCACTAAACAATCCATTTTTTTCCCTGTCAGTCACACTTTCTAGATGTCTGATCATCCTCTGTTCTGTTGCAGGATCGTCCCCAGGGTTTTTCTTGGTACGTTTTAGAAGGACTTTGAACTGGGTCCTTTCTGCAGAGGCCCTGTGGAGGGCAAATGGGAGGATGACTTGTGCATCTAATACCCAGGTTTCTGCAGTACTGCCCACCACCATGCAGCCGCAAAGATGAGCTCATGGACGGCACTGAGTCACGTTCAGTTTATTTGTTGTCGTACCCAGGCTCCTTTCTGAGGAACTGTTACCTACTCAGTTATTTCTCCTCTTGTTCTTCTGCAGTTTGTCACAAATGTGATGCTCTATGCTTGTTGGTACTGAATTGTGCTCTATTGTCTGAATTCTGCCATAGTTGGTCAAAATCTTTTTAAGCTTATCTCCTAAAGTGCTTACAACTTGGCATTGTCTGCAAATTAAAAAAAGATACAAGTCATAAGTGACTTGAAATACCAAATATTTCAACAATACTGGAGAACCCTAATCAATATATCTTCTGCGCTGGCTGTGAATCCTTGGCAACTATTATTTCATTACAACTATCCAGCTGGTTGTGCACTCACCTTCCTGCACTTTCAACCAAACCAGGTTTTCCTAGCTCATTTATGAGAACCTCATAATGCCAAAAGGCTTGCTAAGATGCAAAGAGATGGTATCTACTGCTTTTTCCCTGTCCACAAGGCCTGTCAGAGAAGGAAAATAAGATTAATTAATTATGGTTTGTCCTTGACAAGCCCATGGTGATTGTTGGTTATGACCATACAAATTTGAAGTGCTAATGGGGAGAATGCTTGATCATCTGTTCTTGGGTTTATTTTATTCTTAAATCTCACAATCTAGCCAGAAATTCTTTATATGGCCCTTCTGCTTTGTAAAGGCATAAACTGTGCTTGCTCTTTCCCCTGTCTTGTGAACTCAATCTGTTCTCAACAATTTTTCAAAGGTCATTGCTAACAAATCTGGTATCAGCTAAACTTGATGGAATTTGCCTATCAAAAAGTATTTATCTTACCCAAGAAATTCTCTAGCCTGTTCATGTCTTATTATAGCCCGTGTTCCTACACCTTTTTGTTGTTAGTAACCTGTGATCAGATTAGGATGACTTCGAAGCGAGAACCAAAGCAATAAAAATCCATATTTCCCAGCTTACTCTGTTATCAGCTTTCTTCTCTCCATTTTCCTGTCTGTCAGTTATCTTCCTAGTTCTGTAGAATAAACTTTTAGCCAGGCTGCATTATTTCGTGCTGAGCAATCTTCTTTTCTGCAATTAGCCCTCTTCACTTCAAAGTGATATGATTTTGTTCAGCTTTGTTTTAAAATACAGCTCTTGGCTACCTCTGTGCTCCTCTCATAGCTGATACTTGGCAATCCGCTTCTACTGAATCACTTGATACTACATTCTTGCGTTTAATTCACTTATTGCATTTCATAGCCAAGGCCTCAGTGTATGTGAATGTCTCTCTGTGCCATATGACACAGGAACGTGCATATCAGACACTGGGCTCATGTTGCCACCTACTCCCGTCCCCCCAAGGCCTCCTGATTTAGCAGGTCATGTGAATCAGCTCACCACTCACGGCCTCTTTTAAAATTCAGCCTCTTGCAGCAAATCAGCTCCTCTTTGATCATCTAGCAATTTTACAGGGCCTGTCCCCAATTCCAGCTCTGCCATGCTAATAATCCTTGACTACAGTGTTCATTTCTAATAATCTCAAAATGATTGTTTTTAATTCATTTCAGTTTTTGCAACAGAACAAACTGAAATGGATGTGCTAACATGTTTTATAATCTGAAAGAGCAGCGGTAACTTGTCTGATGGTGTGGGAGAGAGTCGGAACAAAAAGGGGTAATCCACGTTTTGTTTCATTTTCCTGCCACCACTTGCGGAGGAAATAGGTCCTGTTTACACAAACCCAGAGAAACTAATTGCAGCGTTAGTTAAATACTACAGTTTTATAGTCGGAAAACTGCATAGTTGGCATGGAGTGTGGCAGGTATATCCTACCCAGAGCTTTTCCACAGGTTACTTTCACAGTCTGATCCTTTTCCCTTTTTCCTCTCTATAGATTATCAATTCTGTGGTATTGCTGATTCTGCTGAGCGCCCTGACCGATCCTGACCAGTATCACCTAACCAGTGCTGAATTAGGGGGTGAATTTGAATTTATGGATGATGCCAGTAAGTACAAACTGCCTAAATACTAGCACTCATTGCTCCAGCATTTATGTAACTGTCCTATCATTTCACTAATTATTGTCCTTTAATTATTGCTTCACCTTGGTATCTTACAGATGCATTTTTATTGTGAAAGGTGTATTCATGGCACAGTTCAAATTGGTTACCTAGTAGTAACCTTATCTGTTACCTACTAGTAGTCCATCTGCTCTGCTGTGTCCTGGCTTGGCAGGGGCAGAGCCAACCCTTGACATGGAGATGTTATCCCTGAGAATGGTGCTGAAAGCCCCAGGGGGATTTTGCAAGACACAGGGAGATACGGAGTCTCTTGCACCTCCCAGCACCATGTCCGCTAGTGCCTGCACATGCATAAGAACCCATACTGCTGTTTATGTAACTGGCTGAATGTGTTCATTCATGTTGTACGTATTTACACACACCCCCATGTGCACATGGCATGACTTGCGCAAACCCGTTGTGATAGATGCAAGTATGAATATTAACTGTATAGTCATAGGTGTATTAGTGATAACACAGGGCTGCTTCCTTCTCTCACCAAAGGACATCATAGAAAATCTTCAATACAGTTTCAGGGAAGGATGAGCCAGGCCATTTATGTCTCCTGCAAAAACCTCCTGCCCTTTGCAAATGCTTCTTTCTTCTGTGCCTGTTTCAAATTATTTGGTGATGTTTGGTTTGTTGATTTGCTTTAACTGTTCAATTCCTATCTAGAAAAGTTTTCCCTCAATGTGATTTTGATAAAAATGTCTGTTTATTTTCATTTCTGCTCACAAGATGGTTACGCTCAACATTTCTCACAGTAATCTGAAACAAGGTCTCCTGCTACTTACACTGGTGTCTTGCTGCTCAGAATCACACCCATCCACAGCAAAAGGTTCAAAGTCCTTTCCTCATTCCGACCGAAGTCAATAAAAATATCAGTAGGAAAAGGAGTAGCCACACACGTGAGAAAAATAATTGCACCCATGGTGTGTCAGAGCTGCTGGGTATCAGTTAAGGGATGCTTATTTCCACAAGTTCTTTAGTGCAGATATGCCTTGAGGACCTACATTTAATTAATAATAAGGGACAATTGCTACTTTATTGTGTCTTCATTGAAAAACCACCTACAGCTTCCAACTAAAAATCTTTTTATATAACTGGATTTAAGAAAGTAAGGACCATAGTAGATACAGATGGGCTCCTAGCTGATTCTGACATATTAAAACTGACTGCCTTGTCCTAATTCTCAGAGATTAACCTTGGTAATGACTGTCTGTCAGTGTGGTTTTATATAGCCGACATCAGAGGCCTGCCAGTGCCCAAGGCTTTAAAATAGTAATTCTGTTTTGTAATGCAATAGCTGTGAGATCAAGTACATTGGGGATTTCCACCTACACTTGAAAATTGTATTTTCTATATTTTTCTATCAAGGCTTCTGAAGTGAACCCTGCAAGACTGTAAAAGGATGAGGCCAAGCGACCTCATTTCCATTTGGTAAAGGGAACATTTCACAGGCAGTTAAATTACGAATGTTCATTTGAATTAATGTCTCCTTTTATTCTTTGACTCCCTCCGGTTTAATGCCTTACTGAGTAAAGGCAGCTGAATCAAGCTACTGGCTTTTGTAGTTACTGGAAATAGCTGGCAGGAGATAATTTTTTTTTTCTTTTTTTCTTTAAGTATGACTATATTTGTTCAAATCTGAGGAAATGTTTTCTTATGAGATAAAACATCAGACAAACTTCCACGTGCTCTTCTTTTGTCCTACTTTTATTTGTCTTTTTTGAAGAAATATTTCCCAGGTTAGCTACATGTGTTGAAATTCTTAGATGTGAAACCATGAGCACAAACTACAGGAGGATACATCAATTTTTATGCTAATGAAGGTCCCAAAGTTGTTATCTATGTGTACTTGTGTTGACAAATAATAATGATGATGGAAATACTAGTAGCCATTATTCTCGTTACTACTTTTGATGCCCCTATCAATAGCAAACCAAAAAAGAATGCAGACACGGATTTTGCATGTAAAATTGTCGCTCCCTTTCCCTCCCTCCTCAAATAGGCTCCTTCATAAAACAGCCGAAAATATCAACTGGAAATAAACTTACCAGCTGAGTCATAGTAGTGGGATCATGGCTAATGTGAAGTTAATGACCAATTTCCCTTGACTTCCAAGAAACCAGGATTCCCCCAATATTTGTATTCATATTTATTTCTGGCCGTGCTCAGGCCTGGTTTACAGAGAATTTTCAATTTTCTGTTCCAGCAGTGGGAAAAGTTCCTTTCACGTGCAGAGCCAGAGCCAGTCTAGGGCAAACTGCTTGAAAATGCCAGTGCAGCGTCAGTTCTTCCGTGAATGGCTGCTCAGCCTTAATTTCAGGATTTAGCATGGTTTCCAGGGCGTTTCCAGAGGTTCCAAAATGCCTGTTTGATTAAGCAGAGGAAGGATTTACCTGAGTACTTAGAAAAAGCTGTAGGTTGTAGTTTTTCCCTTCTATTCTAGAAAAGGAAATAAGGGGGAAAATAATCTGCCAAGACTTGCCATGCAGCAGATGGATGTACTGGAAGACATCAGCGTGTGTGGTTTGGCTGGCTCTCTGAGATGTACATTTGGGAGCTGGCGAAAACGCTGGGCTTCCTCCTATGCTGGATATTCAGATGAGCCCATTTAGTCTCATCTTTCTTTTTATTATTTCCTTAGGGCCTGAGGGAGTTTATGAACTAGAAGCTGGACTAGGAAAATTAGAAACGTGTGAGCTGCCCAATGAAATACTGCTGCTAGTAAAAGACTAATAATGTCTGGGCAGGAGATGGAAAAGCCCTATAAATCATTTTGACTTCCCAGAGGGTTTCACCTGAGCCTCCTGCTTAGCTTCTCCAGATACACAGACCATGATCCTGTCATGTCAAACAGCCCAAACAAGCAGTGAGTGTTGCTTGGTTTTATTTATTACCTTCAGAGTGTCACAGATATGTACAATACTTCATAAGTCATATGACAGCCAGAATTGAAATCCTATGTATGCCCTATAGAAATTGATGGGAACTTTGACACCGGTGTCAGCAACTCAGGCCGAAATCAGCCTGTGTCCCTACCCTGGGACAGGCAGAGGAGACAAGCAGAGGTCTCAAGGCAGGGCAGGGTAATGAGATGGTCTCTCTGTAGAACATGACATGCATCTGGGGCATAAAAAGACTAATTTAAATAGAAATATTTTTATAACAAAACCTACAGATGGCAGGCTTGGACTTCTATGGGGTAAAGGGTAAAGCACATACCCTTCCTGCCCCAATCCATCAACACCACCCGTGTAGCATAAGCCCCATGTCACAGGGAGGGGAAAAAACTAGATCCCTGCCCCAGCGTAGCATATTCAGGGCTGCATCTTCCCCTCTAGCCTTATCCTCTGGAGTAAATGAGCTGGGCTCAAAGGTGCAGAAAGCTCTTTCCTTCTCGTTGGCCTCCCTCCTTTGCTGGAGAGAAAATGCCACTGCCGCACAGGTTGCAACCCAGGAGGCTGCACGGCTGCTCGCAGCAGCGGCCCCAAGCTCACACAAGCAGCTTGGAGGAGAGAGTGAAGCAGTAATCCTTAGCTGGCAGTAAGGAGGCCAGGCTGCTGGATAAATAAGGCTAGGAGGGTGGGCAAAACTGCTTGAGGATTGTAGGCTGCAATCTGCCTGAGGATTGTAGCTTTCTGGCCCCTGCTGTTGGAGTCGCGAGCCAGCAATTAACTCCGGGGCTGGGGCAGGTGATGAGCTGGAGGATTTGAGGTCTCCATCATGACACACAGGTCCTGGCTCAGGGACTGGCCTCGCTGGCTGCTTCGCCCTGTCCTCACAGCACCTGCCACCAGCATCCTCTGCAAGAGGAGAAGGAAAGGCAAGGAAATGCTTGTGAGTTGGATTTGAGGGAACTCCAGCTGCAGAACTTGCCATGCACGCAAGCACCCCATGGCAGGAGCTCTGCCCAGCCCCAGCAGCATCTTCTCCCCAGTGTGGCAGGAAGGAAGGATCTCACTGCAAGGTATAAGAGGAAAAAAACCCAACTGGTTTCTTTAAAACCAAGCTGAAAACTCAAAAAGCTGTCTAGGACAATAGGCTGTATAACCACTGCAGAGGTCTAAATACAGCCCTTCTAGCCATGACTGCCGTGGAAAGTACAGCATGGCTGGAAAAAAAAATCACACATCCGTGTTAACTTCTCATTTAATGTGCTACATATGTAGTTTCACTCTCATTAATTGAAGCCGACACAGCTCAAAAAACCCAATGAAGCCTTAAATGAGAAAGAACCAGCCTGAGCCAACTAGGACTTGGCACGGTGGAGCACAGCTAGAGAGACACCGGAGACGGGGAGCATGAGTGTGTCAGACCAGAGCTTCAATGTCAAGTTTATCACATTTTGCTAGGCTCTGGCTCTGAACCAGTACTGCCGTGGTCAGGAGCAAAGCGAGGCCTGTGACTGCTGCATTTGCTGCTGAGGAAGTCAGGCAAAAATGCCAGGAGGCCTGCATGGATGAACAAGGAGCCTCTGGACAAACTCAAGCACAAAAAGGAAGCCTACAGAGGGTGGAAGCAAGGACAGGTAGCCTGGGAGGAATACAGAGAAATTGTCTGAGCAGCCAGGGATCAGGTTAGCAAAGCTAAAGCCCTGATAGAATTAAATCTGGCCAGGGACGTCAAGGGCA